ACACACTGAGGCGAGGAGACAGAGTACAGGGCCAGGTGAGGGGCACAGGTGATGTGATAGTGAACAGTTCCAGTGAGAAACGCCCAGCTGATCGGCTTAGCAGGGTGTGGCTGAATGGGTTTCCTGAAGACAGAAGTCCCACCTGGGAGTGACGCCCCAATCGATGGGCTTGTAGCCCGACTGCAATGAAAGGGAAGGGAAAAGGAAGTTTGCAGACGCACTGCTGTTTCATAGGAGGATCTCGAGACTACCTTCACTTTGGACAACGTCTCCTGGCTTCCAGCTCAGACCCTTCTGCTTCCTGATGGGGACTCACGGGACACACAGTGAGCTGGGGTAGCTGACCAGATCCTCTGGACTTCTAGCACACAGACAGCCCTATTGCACGCTTATGTTTCCATGCCTGACTCTGCAGCCGGCCACTGTAAGCCTTCCTTATAAATCCTCGCATGTCTTAGATCAAATCTGTTTCTCTAGTGAGCACTGACTGGTACAGTGACCCAGGCTGGGGACACAGGTGAGAGTCCCATTGGGAAGAGCTCAAGAGGAAGGGGATTTAGTCCCCAAGGTCACACCCACAAGGTCAGCCCCCTTAGTTAGGCCCACCTCCTGTCCCCATCCTTTCTGAATGAGGCAGTCAAATTCGTACCTCATCAGTGGACCCCGGAAGTCCAAGGCCTCATGATCCTAGCACTTCCCAGAAGCCCACCAACAGCCAAGCCTTCCCCACTCAATAAGGCTTTGGGGAGACCTCGTACTGTGCCATCACACCTTGCTTTTCTCCTTCACCTCCCCAGGTGAGAAGTGGAGAGCCCTGCCTGTGGCTAGAGGGGAGCTCCTGCCCACGTCAGCCATGGCAGGGCCTCCCAGTTACCCCAGTTCCCAGCGCTGGCCTTGAGGGGGACATGAGGGATAGTCACCTGGACCCCTCTGATCTCCAGGCAGGCTAGAGCCAGGGTTCTTCTCCAGGCACGTGCATCGTCCTGGAAGCCCAGATGACACCATGCCTCCTGGAGTAGCCAGAGGTGGCCCCCACCAGGAGACAGGGTGCTTGCCTCGGGGTCTCTCCAGGACCTGGCACTGTGCTGCCTGCCTGTACCGCGTGGGCTCTGAGCATGATCGCCTGACAAATAAATGACAAGCAAGTAGGCTGTGAGCAGATCCGAAGCAGACACAGCCTCAGAGACCCTGGCTCCTAGTCCCCAGACAGACGCTGGAGTCTTCCCTGTGCTGTCTATGCTCAGAGACTCCTGTCTGGCTCAAGCACACCCTGGGCCTCTTCAGAATTTATTGCCACTGCTGTGGGGGGATGGAGCTGGGAGATAGCCGCCCCGCCCCTTGGAAGTACTGCCAGGACCTGGGCCCTGAGGGGAAGAAAGAAGGAGGAATCTGAGCCAGAATGCTGTCCTTCCATATACCTGTGGGCCGGCCCCAAGACAGGCCAGGTGCTAGGCTCCTCTGCAGTGTTTCCATTTGGGACCAAGTGAAGGGACATTCATGCAGATGGAGTTTCCCTGAGGCTTGACTCTGTGCCCAGTTTGTAAGAAATTCCCCCAAAGCAGAGTGCTCAGGAAGTACCTCTCTCGCTCCCATTTATACATCGGAAATCCAGAACAGAGAGATTATGTGAGTTTTCCTAGGTCACACAGCAGCGAAGGTCAGGCCTCTAAGGGCAGCACTGGACAATCTGCCACACAAGAATGACATGAGCTAAGGTAACAACCAACTGGTGAGCCCTCCATCCCACAATGACTCCCCACTAGGCCCATGGGGGGCTGTGTGGGATGGCTGGAGGGAAGGCGAAGGAAATATGAGTCCTCCCTGGGGGAGCTTGATGAGAACGGGAAGGAGGCTGAGTCTGCATGTAACTGGGCTGGAGCACACACAGGAAGCCTGCATGGTGTCTGGCTGGCACTCACAGCTCTCCAAGCTTTGCTACCTGGGCAGACACCTTTGGCTCCCTGGGCCTCGATTTCCCCGAAGGTGGGGGTGGTTGCTCAGCATGACAGTGAATAGCAGCAAGTCCTGCATTATTGGAAGGGACATGTGGACCATCACCCTGCAGCAGGAGTGCAGACCAGCTTGCAGGGCAAGGGAGGAGCAGTGGGCGAGCAGGGCCTGGGAGGGCAGGGAATTCAGGGTCCCAGGGCTCTGTGCACACAGGACAGCGCATCATGACAGACAACTCTGTGCTCCCTCTGGGGGACCTCCCAGGTGCTGCAGACACTGCCCAGCCTGAGCTGTCACCCCTCACTCCTTACTCGGCAAGGGTCCCTGTGGAGCATGGCCTGGCCTGTGACGGTGACCGTGTTCATCTCCTTTGAGCGAGCCTGCCTCCCTCCCTTCCTTCCTTGTTCCCTCCCTCCCTTCTTTCCTTCTTTTCTTCCTTCCTTTCTTTCTTAGCCCTTCACACCCCTTCACCTCCTCACTTACCTCTTGGTTGGATCACTCTACCCACATCTCCATTTCCTCTACTTGCTGGTGCTGGGACAGGAAAGGGGGCCAGGTCTCGTCCTCAGACCTGCCATCTTGGAAGGAGGGTGCCAGTAACCAAACGGCAGCACCGCAGGGCTGAAGTCCTGAACTGGGGCTTTCAACGAGGGGAGGGAAGCAAGATGTGTGCAAACTTAGCATGCTCATCCTGGGAAGGCCTTGGAAAGGGGGCCTCTGCACACACTCTGCCACCTGCTGTGGTTGCACATGGGGTGTCCCCAAGGCTCTTGAGTTGGGACTTGCTCCCCGGAGTGGCGCTACTGACAGGCAGAGGGGCAGTCAGAAGGTGGGACCTACTGGGAGGTCTTCAGTCAGTTGGAACTGTGCCTTCAGAAGACGGTGGGGCCCCAGGCTCTCTCCTCTCCCGATAGCTGATGTGCATCCTTCCTCTCACACATGCCTGCCATGACAGCACACAGCCTGTGGGACCCTTACTGGGTTTGGGCCCATGCCGGCAGCACGCCCTGGAGTCTCAGTACTGTGCGGGACACAGGTCCCTTCTCCATAGCGTCAGCCCGCCCTCGACATTTTCTGATCATAGTGAAGAGGGCGCTCCGACAGCCTCCATCTCTCCAGCCGCTGTGTTCGCTCCTTCCCCTGAGTATTAACTTACCACCGAACACACAGGACAGCAGGGCCTACATGGGAAAGGTGCCCTGCAGGTCTGAGTTCTGATGTCAGCTTTGCGGGGCACAGCAGATCTCTCCCTGCCTCCATTTTCTCGGCTGCGGAAGGGGATAATGGGGGAAGATGGAGAATGGCCGGAGAGTCAGCCGAGACAAGAAGCGGCACCTGGCACGTGATGGACGCTCTGGTCCCCGCCTGTGTGTTTGCTCATCCGGACTCCTCCAGTCCGAAGCTCGCCAAGAGGACACCAATGTCCCGCGTTCGCTGCACGAGCAGAGGCCCTGGAAAAGGCGGAGTCGGCTGACCCCAGGCCTTCCACCTCCACCCAGCATGCTCTGGGCCCCACCAAGGAGCAGCCCGGCAGCTGAGCGACCCCCAGCGATGGGCACACCCACAACTCTAAAGCCTGAGTGTCTGCCCCAGTGGCTCATAACAACTGGATTTTCTAAATTGGACAACACATCCTGTGGGAAATGGCCGGCCCTGGGGTGCTGAGCCCTGGAATCCCCCAGCATTCCTCAGTCCCCGCCAGCCTGCACCACAGCGAGGGATACCATGGGCTGGGGCCTGGCTACACTTGGTGTTCGTCAAAAGGCCGCGGAACCGGGACTGGCCCACGGCACCTGAGTGATTCCTTTAACACCTGTCAACAATGCTGGCCACTATGGTTTGAAAAGAAAATGAAGACCTTTAGCGGGCAGTCTCCTTGTGGCCCGAATTGCTGCCTTCCATTTTACCTATACAATTTCAGTAAATTCTTATATATAGATTAGTGTGAATTTGGCTTCAAAGACCAAAAAATCTAAGAATTTTCTAAGAATAAGTAATAAGCAGTAAGAATAAGTAACAAGAAGATTTAAGCAATAAGTAGTTAAATTACATTCTGTAATGAGAAGTCTTCAAGGGATGATTCAGGTTTGGTTTAGTAATGACATAAAGTAACAAGAACATGGGTCTTTTTATTTCTTCTGCTCTGACACCCATAGTAGATTGGCTTTTTAGACTTAGGCTTGTGCCACTTACACCAGAATGGCTGCTACTGTTCCAGCCATCACCTTTACACAGTAGGAAAGAATAAGATAATCAGAGTTGTTCTCTTGAAGAAGAAAATCCTTTATAGGCACTCCTAACAAATGTCCCTTTATGTATCATTGGCTAGCACTGGGTCAGAAACCTGCTTGGCGCTAACAGCTGAAGAAATCATCAGAATCCCCTCTTGGGAGACCACAGCTATAGGGATCACAAAGCCCTTAGGTGGCACAAGCCTGTGGACCTCTCCGAGCAGCCCCGAAGGCTTGCACATCCCCTTGTTAGAAAGTCACCCAGGTCGGGCCGAGTGCAGAGTGCTGGGGCGTGAGAGGGTCAGAGGGTCGCTAAGGCTGCACACTGAACCAAGGACTGAGTGGGAGAAGAAGCGGGCGTGAGCGTGGCTGCTGCCCCTGGCTCGGGCCCCCTGGTCGCTCTGAGGCATGAACAGGATCTGGGGAGCAGGGTGACATCTGCTCCTGGGGCTGGCTGAGCTCTGTGAATTCCGGTCACATCTCTCACATCTCGGGACCCATGCCTGGAATCCCTTCCTCTTCCTGAAGCCTGGAGAGGGCAGCGAGGATCAGTGTTGGGCACAGCCCAGACCCAGGGGAGGCAGGCGTTGCCTGGGAGCCCTCTGACAGCCCCCGGCTGCCTGCTTGTGCCTGGTCCCCCTGCCGGAACTGCCTCAGCCCCATCCAGTCCCGGTGAAATCCTAGCCCTGCAGCTTCCCCTTTAAGAACTGTCGGCTTGGGGCTGTGGCCAAGCTGGAGGTGGGGACCGACTGGGAAGAGAGGGGAAAAAAAAGAGAGGGAGGCAGGAAAAGTTTTTAAAGAGGAAAATGCAGGGTTTGTCCTCTGCTCTGCTCTGACGTCAGATCTCGCTTTAACAACCCCCACCCCACCCCAGGGCTGCAGAGGAGGACCATCTGCGGCTCCCCATGGGCCGGGCCAGTCTGGGCCCAGCTCCCAGGAGAGGCAGCCGGACCCTCTGCTCTCCTCTGTGCAAGCCTTTGCTTCCGACCCCCAGGGATGTGGTGCTTCCTGTCCTGGGCGCTGGCAGCAGTGACAGCGGCAGCTGCAGGCAGCATCCTGGCCACGGTGAGTCCAGCCTGGAGGGGCTCAGAGCCTGGTGCTCCCTTCCCGCTGCCCTGCCTTGGGGACAGGCTAGGGACAGAGAAGGGCTTCAGGGTCAGCCAGACCGGGCTGGGAGGAGGAGGAGGGGTGTCCTCAGGGTTTGCAAACCAAACGGGTCCTGCATTCCATGCCTATCCAATTAAATAAATAAATCGGGATGGGATGGGATGGGATGGGACAGTGTCGGAGGTCAGGGCTCCAGATGGCTTTGCCACCCTGGCTGTGTGGCCTTGGCTTGGTCTCGTGCCCTACCCTGCAGCACAAAGTGTGGCTGTCATCGGGGGCTCCTAGAAGCTTCAGGCTGAAAACTCTGAGACTTGTTGCCTGGGAGACACTACAGGAAATGCCAAGGAGGGTTGGAAAAGAGAATGCCAGCTTTCAGCAAGACTGCTCACTCAGTCACACACTTCTCACACCACTGCTGCCTGCAGGCTGTGGTGCGTGGGGGAAGCACACTGGGTCCCTCTGTAAAGTCAGGAGTGCTAGGACATCGCTTGAGGGAAGTCCGGGGAGGCTCTCCCACCTGTGTCCCAGGGCACAGCTGGGGAGGGACGAAGTCTGCACCCCCGAGGGCATCTGGGGAGCAGGACACGTGGCAGCACAGAGCCAGCCTGCAAGTGGTGTGGACACAGGGCAGAGGCAAGGCCAGTGGGGCAGGCGGCAGTGAGCGACTGCTGGTCACAAGAGCCTGCCCCAGACCAGGGCCAGCGCCTGCTGTCAGGAGCAATGAGAAATGGCAAGAGAGCTGCTGTTACCGTCTCACACCGAAGGCTTTCTCAGGGATCAGTGTGCCCACCCAAGGACAGGGAAACTGAGACTCGGGGATGTGGGCATGACCACTCTGCTTCTGAGGCTGAGAGCTGTCCTTGGAGGGTTGGACCACAGACCTCTGCCGCTGAGGGCCCCAGTGTGCTGTACTTGCAGAGAAAGTGGCTGGTTCCCCTTTGGCTGCCTGCTTTTCTGCGGGTCCTGCCGGGAGCTGGTGCCCAACTGCCTTATGGAAGATATCTTGGCTCCCCCTCACAGGGAGTAAGTGGCAGGGTCACACTCAGGTCTTCAATGGCAAATCCTCCACCTCTCAGGGGTTTACCAGTTGGGGTCATCCTGAAGCTCTAGGGCAGCTGTGCTTTCCCTGGGGACAGGCCTGCAGGCCGCCGTGCCTGGGAGGGCCAGGCATGCATGGAGAAGAGGTCTTAGGGTTGCTGGCACCAGGGCCAGGAGCTGGAGTGGAGCAATTTGAAGTGGGTCCGAGCATGCTAGAACCGGGTCACCTCCTCAGAGCAGACAGGACAGGAGATGCCTGGGGACAAAGTGGAGGCTCTGCTGGGGGAGACCCATAGTGAAGGCAGAGGAGCCCCAGGTCCAGAGGGACCCACGTGGTGGCAGGTGGGGAGGCTGCTGGGAAAGCAGGGCACTCTGCTCCATCCACAGCCCCAGGCTCCCCACCCATACTTGTCACAACCAAGGCAAGCATTTGAGTCCTTCTAACACCCTTAAATCCCACATCTGGGGACATCATACCCCAGGTGGCAAAGACCCAGGCTTCCTCCAGAAACCAGAGCCTCTCTTTCTATCAGATTCCTTGCATAGCACTGCAAGTTTCCGCACAGAAGGATCAGGGGCCGGACAGACACTAATGGAAAAAATGATCCTAAACGTCCATATGGAAGGAAAGGCATGCGAGAGGGTGCCAAGAGTGGGGAGACTTCTCCGCCAGACACACACAGTGTCATCAGAGCTGTCTAGGAGGGAGGGAGGTGCCCGTCCAGGAGAGAGGAGCCCCTGGGGAAGGGACAGTGACCTCAGACACTGCACTGTGCGTTTTGGGGAACTGAACCTATAAAAAAAGTGTACTCTAGATATAACTTATTTTAATGAGTTCTTTTCAATCTCTTTACTCTCCCTTGAATATTTGTTGAGAGAAAGGGGGTACAGTTAGTGAGCAGCGTCGTGCACCAAGTGCCCTGCCTGGGTGCCTCCAGTGCGTGCCAGTTATTACATTCCCCTGACACTGTCATGGAGGAGGCGCCTTCATCCACCTTTGTAGATGCAAGACTCCCAGCTCAGAAGTGAAGAGATTGCTAGGAGTCCCAGAGCTGCCCTGGAGTCAGTTCCACCCTTTGCAGGGCACACTCTCGTGGCCTGGGTCTGAGCGCTTGTGCACAAATGGGATGTACATGGCCCCTGCCCCACCACAGCCAGTGAGACTGGGATGGAGGTCCACCTACACTCAGGAATGAGAGCGACAGGGCCGCCTCAAGCAGGGGAGTGAGGCCAGATGCCGGGTCTGCCAGTGACTGTGACAGGCTCCTCACCCGTCAGTGTTAGCAATGTCCAGGGCCAGCAACCTGACCCCTGCCCGTGCTGGGTGTGAGCACCGGCTTCTTCCAGCCTGCTCCGGAGCCCTGCCTGGCATGCAGGGGTGTGGTGGGGAGCAGACCCAGGGGGATGGGTCTGAGGGTCTGTGCCAACCTGCAGACAAGGCCCAAGTCCTCCCCTGCCTGTGCATGTGAGATGTGCACTGAAGGAAGAAGTGTGTGGTGTGTGTGTGTGTGTGTGTGTGTTTGTGTGCACACACATATGCTGCATCTGAGTGAATAAATCATGCTTCCAGAGCCAGCTGCAGAATACTGGGGACCTGGTTATGTGATGAGGCTTCTCCTTTGACAAAGAGAACATAAAGCACATGCCCTGCCCCCTCTACTGCTGTGCGCAGCTCAATCAGAGCCAGCCTCTAAGACGCTCCTGGCAGGGCCCCCCCCTCCAGGCCCGGATCAGGCCCCTAAGGGCTCCTCAGCCCGCTGCTGTGTGTAGCCAGTACAAGTGTAGCCCGGAGTGCAGGGCTGAAAGGCCTCTCAAACGTGAATCATGGACATTCTGTAGGAATGCCATGAGGTTGGGTCTGCCGGAAGTCTGCAAGCTCTGGGCCAGTCCTGGCTTCTGCAGGCACTATGGATGTGCCACGCCCTGATGAGGGTGGGAAGGTCAGAGGAGAGAGCGCAGGCCACAGCAGTGAGGGGCTGGAATGGAGATGGTACAGGTGCTGCAAGATGCCTGGGGCTGGGCAGGCATGTGGGGTCCCAGGGTGGAGGAAGAGTCTGGGAGAGGGGGGAGCCTCACCCTGGCCTGAAGAGCTGAAGATCAGAGGAGAGGGCTTGTGGCTGTGTGACCTTGGAAAAGCCCTTGCCATCTGCTCCTCTGCTCACCTTGAAAGCCAGGAGGCCGGCCTTCCCCTGGGCTTGCTTCCACCCCAGCCATCTCAGAGCCCCAGTGTCCACACAGTCTTTGACTGGTTGGGACCAGCGGGCTGAGGTGATCACTCGCAGGGAGAGCTCTGCACTGCCGCCTCTCTCGGAAGGGTGGTGTTGGCTTTTGTGCCCCAAAACGTGTGTTCCAAGCTCTGGGTGTTCCCTTAGAAGTGTTTCCTCCTCTCCCCTCAGGGTCTCCGCAAGTTTCTGCTCATGTATTTACACGTGCCCCCCCCACGTGCCCACACCCACACTCGGATGTGTGCATCCCTGGCTCCCTTCTAACCCTAACCCTAACCCTAACTCTAACCCTAACCCCTTGGCTGCCACTCTGGCTCTGCCTCAGAGTGGCCAGGCTTGGAGCTTGCAGAGCTCAGCCGGGATGTGGCCCAGAGCTGTGGGCTGAGCCTCACACTGCCATGAGCATCTCCTCTCACCCTCGGGAGGGCCTGTGGTGGTGGCAGCTTCGCCATTCCACTCCACAGAGCAGGAAACTGAGGCACTGAGTCTTCTTACTCCCAGGCCATCCAGGCCGGCCTGGAAGCCAGGGGTCCTGTCCTCTGAAGCAGACTTGGCCGCTGACTCCAGAAATGTGAGAACAAAGCAGAGGGCAGAGCGGGTCAGTAGGGTGATTACCGACCCTGGGTCCAGGCCTGGGAGGGAAGTGCTCCTCAACTGGAATCTGGCAACCCCTCCCTAACATCTCTGGGATGGGACATTCCTGCCTCAACCCTGCCCCCTGGTGGAATATGAAGGGGTGGCCTCCCTAAACCCTGGCTCCCGAAGCAGGAAAGGGCAGTTGACCCTATAGGCCTCTCCACTCTGCTTACCTTGGCAACTTGGGCTCAGCTCCATCTGCAGCAACACTGTTCCCCTGAGTGCCCAATGCCTAGAGAAGCCTGTTCATACGACAGGCAAGTGGGGGAGTGAATGAAGGGCTATGAATGAACGGTGGGAACTACCAGAGAAAGCTTGGATCCACGGGATGCTTTGCCGCCTTCCAGATGCAGCACCCAGAGGAAGTCACAGAAGCTCCGAGCCCCAGTTTCCTGTCTGTGAAATGGGGCATTCCTAGTAACTAGGACCTGGGCGATGAGGCTACTGGAGTTTGTGGCCACCATTGCCATCGTTTTACCCATGAGGACAGGAGCTCAGAGAGGGTGAACACAGCCCAGGACACACAGCTGGGAGTGGCAGGATGGTGGGGGCTGTCACTGGGGTCCCTTGCTGCCCCATGCAGGAGAGAGAAGGCCTGCTGTTCCCTGCAGGAGAGAGAAGGCCCACTCCCAGTGGGGTCTGCCCCACCTGGCCAGCCTCGCTTCCTGCTCCCAGGCTCCTGCCAGGCGCTTTAATGGCACTGCGGCCACACGGGCATCACCTTACAGATGTGCACATCTCCACGGCACTAGCAGCAGGCAGAAACGTCACTGCTGCCCACTGTTAAATATCTCTGATGCACAGGAGGACTGTCTGTCTGGTGGGAGCTGTACTCCTTTTCCTTCTCATTTTCCATCAGCACTTCCCGGCTTTGAACTTGCCTGCTTAGAATGCGTCGTCCAGAGGGGTTAAGTATATGAAGCTCAGCAGTCTGGTCACCCACAGCGCCTCCTGCTTCTGCTCTTCCATTTTTCAGGCTTTTTAACAAAGCATCCAGGGCAGATCCTTCTCCACAGTCCGCACAAGACTCGCTTCCTGAGCAAGGTGCTGCTGAGGAAC